GGATAGTTAGGGACTGAATTTAGGGATTGAGCTTATTGATTTGGGGATTTTGATGAAATTTGATTTAGGGATTTAGGGATTTTGGTAGAAACCTGTTTCATGGAATTTAGGGATTTAGGGATTTGCTAATGAACATGTTTGAAATTTGGTTGGTAACTTGATATGACTTATGAGATGAAGAAATTGATTTAGGAACTTCTGATATGATTGATTTTTTATTTGTTTCAGTTATGAACAAATACTTTAATTTTTTCGTCACTTTTTAAAGTTGGATCTGATTATTTTTCCGTTGAATTTAGACCCTTTTTTTAAAGTTTTAGATTACTTGAAAACCTCATTTTTTTCAACACCTATATAAGGAATTTTTTCTAAAATATAATGTATAAATAAATTTAAAATTATGAAGCATTTTTTTGTACAATTTTTTTTGGGATTCATTCATTTAATCATTATGTCCTTAATTTTTATTTTATTGTCAAATAACTTTGCATGTGTACATAATATTCGTGTCAATCAATCTATGTAAAATAAAATAAAATGGAGGTTTATAAATTATAAGCCCTCTTATCTTCGTTATTGTGTCTATTTTTTTTTTTTTTTTTGATATAATTTTTTTAAATCCATCAAATTGGGTTGGATTTTAATTAATAGCCCAAGATCCAACCCAATACAACACAATTCAATCCAACCTCAAATTTGATTTTTCAACACTATCCAATGTGTTGGATTGGGTAGGTCGGGTTGAGCGCTTTGGATTGAATTTTGTCAAATCCTATTTAGGGTATGTTTGGTAAAAATTTTTATTTTCAACAGTAAATCAATTCTCATTTTCAACCACACATTTTTCAATAAAATAATATTTTCTATCACATCAATAATCTTATCTTCTTTTTCAGCCATACATTTTCCATCATATCACTATTTAAAATCAATTATTCCCCCAAAAAATCCCTACCAAACACACTTAATACCATGAAGTAGCCGGTGTTGATGTTGAATAACGTTAGTCTATTATGATTTATGAAACATTGGCCGACTGAAGAACAAATGTACTGGGCCTTAGCGCATAAGTATTGTTTGGATCCAAGCCCAGCCGTCAATATAGTCTTGCAGCGAATAAAACGAGAGAAAATTCGGTTAGCTTCATCCAATTTCACGAACGGGTCAAACTTTTACAAGCTATTGGAATCGATTTGTAACATTTGTTTGTTCAATTCTCGGGTGAGTTGTTTCTCCATTCACTGTAATGATTTATTTCATTTGTATGGATACTAGTATGTATATGTGGCAGAAGGATCCGGAGTTCTGAATTTACGGTGAAATTTAATGGTAATTTGTTCTGGATCTTAATTTGTGAGTTAGCTTTCAAGATTTAATTTATTTTTTATTAATTTCGTTTTCCAGAAAATTGTATAGAATTTGTGGCTTTGCTATAGTTAGGTTACGTTATCTGTTTATAGTCTGAATATTTATTATGCAGTCTGCGAGTTAGTGATCAAATTATGTATTTTTGTTTCTTGATGGTCGTAATGTTGGGGGTTGTTAACGTAGTCGTGGGGTTGTGGAAAGGGAAGGTATTTGTGGACTGGTGATTGTTTGTTCTTAAGTTTTATTCAGTAAATTTATAGCTTGTTGGACTTGGGGAACGTTGGGTTAGTTACCGAGTGTGTGGCAATGGGTGGCACGTTAGTGGTTGGCGCACATTTGGTCGTGGCTGATTGTTGTCTTATAAACAGTGTTTTGTGGTTCCTGGGCTGCAATAAGTGCTAGCTCACCCTTTCGCAAGTACCCCCTCCCCTGGTACCTGCAGATCAATCTTAGGTCTTGCTGCTTACGGAACGAAGGAGGGGGTGGATTGTTTGGGGCAGGGATGGGGGAAGTTTGTGAATTTATACTTTGGAAAGATAAATATAACACTTATAAACTGATATAGGGAGTAGTTCGTCAGTGTTTTTTTTTATCATGGGGAAGACAAACTTAATGTGTAAAGAATTGGAAATTTTTATTCATTTTACCATTTAATAAATCATAATCAGATGGTAGTAAATAACTATTTGCAACTTGACAATTTAGAATAGACATTTAAGTAATTAAATATTATATAATTGATGAAAATGAGAAAATTTATAACCGTGATCCAGGCAGTAACATTAATTTAAAATCTGTTGAGTAGTAAAAGTGTTAGTTGGTTATTGTTTGTTCCAAAATATGGATTCGATACCTGATCAATTCAATCAGGCATTTGCCATCTATTTTCATTGTTCAAATCTTTGACAACACATAGAATAGATTGACAGATAAGAATGTGTCCTTTAGAAATGAGTTTTTGCTTTATCGACTTATTCATATCATTGTTCAAGCATTAAAAATCGGTCAACATAATAACAACTGACATGTTTTTGGATGGATATTTCTAAAACCGCCTAAGATGGATTGAGAAATTGAAAGATAGCCTTGTTCTATAATGGAGTTGGGACAAATTCCCAATGTCCACACTATCCTTCCATTGAGTAATTTATTGAAATAATGGCTCTATATTTTTGTGATTGCATAGATAGTACTAAACATAGCTCTATTACTTGCCCTTTTACTATTCATAACTTGGTTGATGTCTCTACTTCTCCATTTGCTGAGATGCATTGTAAATAATTTTATTTCCATCCTTGATAACTATATTGTTTCCCGATACACTTACACATGAGACTCTGAATCACGCTCTTGGATTTCGATTTAGCTAACTTACACTTTTCATCAAAAGCCTCTGCATTGTTTAGATTTTGGTCATTTCTGTAGCATTCTCATCTAGCCTTAATAGTCATTTGAACCTTCTCAATTTACACCAGTTGTCCTTATTGAATGGGCTTCGACTCTTAAACTCTCCTAATACCTGCTTTTTGAGGTTACACATGTAGCTAACCACCTCATTCCGCACCATGTTACTATATATTAAAAGTTTATAAGCCATATTTGCTAATTTTTTGCCATTTTCATACTGTCAAAACTGTCTATATGCCATTTTCATACTGTCAAAACTCTTTCTGTTGCCTATATATTAAAGTTTATAAGCCATATTCGCTAATTTTTTGCCTTCTTGTGTACAAGGCATACGGCATACAAAAATAGATCAAAAGTAAAAATATGGGATACTGATTAGATGATAGCTCAATGTTGAATATAGGTTAAAATATTAGTATTACTTTGTCATGTTTTTAATTAATCTTTACTCATCTTCTCTTTTTATGAAATGACTGTATAAAATTACTGGAAAAATTCTTTTATGAGAATCTATGGTAATTTCTAAAGATGTATTGTAAATTAAACAGTTTCTGTATTTTGGGTAATCCAGTAAGTTAAAACAGAAAGCAAAATATTATCAGCTCATGATATTAGCTCAACTGCAGATCCTTAGCACTAAGTCGTCTTGTTAAGCATACATGGGTATGTCATATGTGTAACTTAAATATACTTAGCTTAATTACATGAATGACTATACTCCATGGTTACGCCCAAAGAAAATTAGTGGAAAAAAAATTGCTCAGACTGTGATCAGTTGTACTCAGTTTCATACCTCACTTGCACTGAATCTAGTATCTCGATCTCACATTTTCACCTTTGTCTCCATGTAAATGTTTTGGGATAGTTTCGTATTGCCATTTAATTAAAGGAAAGTCTTTGTCATTTCACTGTACTTCTCTGTTTTAAACACATTTATCTCTGGTCAGTGTTTATCTCCGTGCAGAGGCGGATCTAGCAGGGGGCTGGGCTGGGCTGGGCTATAACCCACTTGGTAAGAGTAGAGGAAGTTTATAGTTAAATTGGCCCAAATATCTATATTAGCTCAGCTTCACATTGAGTCCTAGCCCAAGCCCAAGTCCAATTATCCAAATATTCTTTCATGATATTAATAAAATGTGAACAATTTTATTACCAAATTATATTTTTATTTAATGCATATTTTACTTATAATTATATATAAACTTTTATAATAAATAAAATTGTATTGATTAGAGCTAAAATAAATTACTTATTTTTTTTTTATCCTCGAGATTTCTTGTCGTTTTATTCACTTTGGGTGGATTTTTCACTCATGGTAGAATGTGTTGGTATAAAAGATTGATGCTCACATTAGATAATATTTTGAGAATGACGACGTATAATAATGTATTTTTGGTTGCTTTTTTGGCCAAAACTTTCAGTTTGAAACAAATGGTAGTAAAATTCTTGAGTATTTTTTTAGTTTTTGATTGATGGATATATATCATTTGCTTACGTTTGTCGTGCTTCTATCGGTTTATATTTTTTACGGTGAGCATTGATTTTGTATTTCGCGAGAAAAAAGTATGAATATGTAATGAGAATTTAGACTTGTACTTCATTGAATGTCATATGCTATTTGTCTAGAATGTAATGGTATAGTCTCCTAAACTCGATCTCTTGTAGCATGAGTTTATTTAGAATTTTTAAATTTTAGCCCACCCCAAAGTCATTTCGTGGCTCCGCCCCTGTCTTCGTGCATGTTGGAAATTATATTTAAAATTCCCATGTAGTTTTCTTTGTTTCTTGGAAATTTCTAGATCTTAAATGTTTAAAATAGTTGTGAGTATTTAGACCTATAAATTATTATCTTGGGAAAGTTGTTGAAATGTTTTAAGATTTAAGGTTATGTGTTATGTTTTATTTAGTTATTCAACTCTGTAATTTTTTCGGCTTCAAGTTCATTGTCTAAAATCTCGTAAAATTTATTTTTAGCTTACTTATTTTTCTTCACATCTCCTCTTTGATTTTGAAACTCCACAGTTCAATTTGAGTTGGAGTTGTTTGACACTTTCATAACCAGCAATTACATTGATCTTTATGGCATCTCGAAGAAATATTAACTACAGTCGTCTTGCTGATGATGAAGATGATTCTTATGATGGTAGCGGAGAAAGGCAAAAGGACCGTCGATTTGACTATACACCTAAATCTTATGATAAAATTCCATGGAAATCCATCATCCTTGCACTTTTCCTGCTCTCCCTGGGATGCCTACTTCTCTTTCTTTCATTCTTCATTTTCACAGGTCACATGGGAGGAGACCGTTCCCAAGCATATGGCCTTTTAGGACTCGGAATTCTTACCTTCCTGCCAGGTATCTTAAATTCATTCTTTGGAAGCATTTTTTAACGTTAAGATATCATGTTAGAAATATTGTTAGTCACTCAACTTATAATGAAGTTTCATGTTAGTCACCGAACTTTATTATGTTTCAAAGGGATCTCTAAAGTTTTCTTTTTCATTTCAATTCGCTTGTTCAAACTATCGTCGGTTCGCAATTGACATGCGAGCCGGCTTGCCATAGGGGAGTGAAAATGTAATTTCAGTTAAAAAAAACACACACGTGGCTGGGCTCACCCCACCAAGGGCTAGTTGGTGTAGCGAGCCATACTGGACTTTTTTGGTAACGAGCTAGCACGTGCTTGGCTTGCCCCATATGGGAGAGAAGCCTGACTCACGTTTTGGGCCTAGCCGAGCCTGATGGTGGTGAGCTAAGCGGCACGGCTCGGTCCATTTAATATCCTTAGTTTTAATTTAGTGATTGACTTGAAATCGATAGAAACTTTAAATAAGAATTTGGAACAGAAAGAGTTCGGCGACTAACTTGAAATTTAACTATAAGTTGAGTGACTAATAGTACCCTTATCGCATATCGGTTTATTGGGTTGAATTTTTTTTTTCTTTGATATTTTTACTATCAAGTAATAGTTGATCCTGCTTCGTTTTCCTGAATATGTTGCTTTTGGAAAATGTAATTTACATGCAGGCAAACATAAGCAATACAATTTTATGAAGTCTCTAGCTATCCTTTTTGTTCCCAGGATATGCTACATATCACATTGTTGTACTTCTGCTTCTTATTTATTGCTCGGGCAACTGTTCGATTTCTAAATTGACTCATCATGAAATCTCTGCAGGCTTCTATGAAACTCGAATTGCATATTATTCCTGGAGAGGTGCCCAAGGCTATCGCTTTGCTTCAATTCCCGATTATTAAAGTTTTCTGCTGTTTTATCCACCCTGGCATTGATGTTGCGAAACAAGTTTTTGTTTGAGTTAATGACTTATATTTTACCATGTGGAACTATCACATTTGGTTAGTTAATTACTTGAGTTGTACCAAACATGTAGTACTGTAGTTTGCCTGAGCAGAAATCCTGTACCATATTCTTCAAGAATGGCTTTTGTATTAAATCAGAAAGAATTGAACATGATAATTGTCAAATTTTGTCTTGTACGTCTGTTCTTTAATTTTGTCTATTCAAGTGTGTTGATACGAGTAATATATTTCCCCTAATTTTAACTTTCTACAAAATAAAATGGTCCACCTTTAAAGGAAATAAATTATGAAAAAAACATGGCCTCACTTTTTTTACTACTAGAATTCTAATTGCATTCAAGGGAATTGGTTCTATGAGCAATTTATTAAAAACATGGCCTCACTTTTTTCATATGCAGAATCCCCTCCTTGAATTGCTTGCAAGAATATCCCAAGAAACTCTTTTGAGTTCATTGGATTTGCCTTGCTCCCTTGAGGTTGTTACCATCTTTCTCCAATTACACCTCGTGCAATGTGACTGCCTGTCGACAACTCAACGGAGGCATACTTGGAAGGACCAAGAACATATTTTGGGAAAACAGCATTGCAGTAGCATTAAGAGAAAGATTGCAGAGATTTTGCACGTATGAATATGGCTTGGTGTTTCTTCTCGATCTTTCGTTTCCAATGGCTGCGAAATAAGAAGGGGGAAGGTTGAGAAAATGAGGATTTATATTAGTGATAAGTACACCACAATATTGTGTTATTATTTTTTTTTTCAATATTTTTTTTATTGAATAAGAAGTATAATAGTAATTTTATTGGGGTGTATTTATTAAAAAAAAATTATTTGTGGTGTGATTATAATGTGATGTAGTAACTAAAATTTGTAATGGTAATATAATTACCCTTGATTAATAACATTAATTCTTCACATATTTAGCTATGTGCCCAATATACCTTTATTTAATTTTAATTTTCTTAATAATTAATTAATAAAATTAATTCAACATGTTCTTAAAAAAAAATTCCTTTTTCTTTTTCACCTGTCAATAATTCCCTAAATTAATATTTTAAATATTATATTAATTTTTATTAACAGCTTTTATTATAAAAATATAATTTAAATTTCTTCACTTGGATGAATTAGTCCGTTTAAAAAAATAACATACATATTTTCTTATTTAAATAATATTTCATTTGGTTATTTCACACATATTATAACAATTAAACGATATATTTAATATAATAAAAAAATGGAATACTAAATGATAGATAATTATATTCCCACTAAAAATTTTATTAACCACACAACATTATACCTGTAATAAACATTTATAATCTTTGCTCACACTTAAGTTCTCAATTATTTTTCGCTATATTTTTATCATTATATGAAACTATATAAATTATTATAATATTATAATGTGTTGAAATTTTAAACCATCCACACATAACATTAACAAATTAAAAATTCCAATATATAGAGAAAATGTAAGATGAAAGAAGATGAAGAGAGTGCTACTTTTTTTAATTTCCTACCAATGGAGGGCATGTGAAAGGGATTGAGATATGACTATCTTTATAATTAATGTAAATAAATGAGAGCGAATATGATGACTGCATTGTGTTAGTACATACACTATGTAATAAATATGATTAGAATCATTATAGCTATAAAAATCGACTTTTCTCATTCTAGAACTATTGTCAACGAAAGCAATTTGTTTTGGGCTAAAACCAAGAATTGTTGTCAATGAAAGCAATTTATTGTGAGTTAGAGCTTCTCAAAATACGAAAATAGCCTAAATGATGCTTATGTATGCGATGTATTTATGTTGGGCATTGGAGTTTTGGATAAGTCGATTTGAGAGAGACTAATTCTAAAAATAAAAAAAGCAAAAGAAAAAAACATAGTTGTTTTGGTCTTCGATGAAATTTTTGATTATGCTAAAAAGATAATGTAGTTCATTTTTCTCTCTATTTTTATTTTTTAATTCTTTTAGTAATGTCCATCTAAATGGTGAACATAAGCTACTTATAAGTTGACAAGAATTTTTTTAGTTAAGCTTGGTTCGTATTTCAATTTAATTTTTAATATCTTGGAATTAATTATATGAAATTTCTATTTTAAATTTATCTATTACCGCAAATCATTTTAATTGTATATATACTTCCGTTTGGAGCATTCTAAGTACGTGGTAGTCCGATAATATTATTGCCTCATCATATATGTATCATTTTTTATTCATATTTATGATTTTGTGGAGCCATATTTGTTCGACATCTATATGTTAGATCTATTTCCACCACCGTGACTTGTTTTTTACTTGACAATTTATATTTCTATGTTTATGGTTTTTATTTAGTTGTTTTATCATTTATTAAATTATGACTTGATAATTACTTTCAGGAAAGATGATGAGACATTAGCATATGTACAATTATATTGAACTTTGACAATTAGAATTTAGTTGAAATGTGAACAGCAACGACTTTGTATTGGTTTTTGACTAATTTTAATATTAAATAAAATCATTCGAAATTTTTTTTCATATTTACCCAATTTTCGATAATAAACAAAATTTGAAGTGTTAATTTTCATATATCGCCACATTATATTGGTACACGAGCACAATGACATATTTTGATAAATACGTGTTGCATGATATTATATTTGTATGCTACGTCCTATATTTGATATATGATTTTTTTAACATTGATAAATAAATAATTAAACTAACACATCAATGACTTTTATTTTTATTTTGTATGCAAGATACATCACAGATGAATACATTATCATCGGAAATACTAACAGAAACGAGATCTTATTCATCAATAGATCAATAAAATGAGTCAGGTCGTTAGTTTAATTCGAAAAGTATTAACTTTTTTTCGTTTTATTAATTGTTAATGATTAATTTCGTTGTTATATCTTAAATTTGTTTTCATATTTGTAGAATTGATGTCGTCAAACAAAGATTGCGATTATATCTTTATAAGACAATTGCATGTATCTGAAGAATGATGGATTATTAAAGTATTCGTACTTTGAAAAGGTTCCATTGAGATCTACAACAATAAGAACGACCACATTAAAGTTTTAAAATTAATTTTGTGTAATGGAGAGGTATTATATAAGAGCTTTGCTATAGGTACATCACCTCTTACACAAGGGGTGACATAATGCACAAGTAGCGCCTCCTCATTGGAGGGTATTCATATTTATGATTTTGTGGAGCCATATTTGTTGGACATCTATATGATAGATCTATTTCCACCACCGTGACTTGTTTTTTACTCGACAATTTATATTTCTATGTTTATGGTTTTTATTTAGTTGTTTTATTATTTATTAAATTATGATTTGATAATTACTTTCCGGAGAGATGATGAGACATTAGCATATGTACAATTATATTGAACTTTGACAATTAGGATTTAGTTGAAATGTGAACAGCAACGACTTTGTACTGGTTTTTGACTGATTTAACATTAAATAAAATCATTCGAATTTTTGTTTTCATATTTACCCAATTTTCGATAATAAACAAAATTTGAAGTGTTAATTATCATATATCGCTACATCATATTGGTACACGAGCACAATCACATTTTTTGATAAATACGTGTTGCATGATATTATATTTGTATGATACGTCCTATATTTGATATATGATTTTTTTAACATTGATAAATAAATAATTAAACTAACACATCAATGACTTCTATTTTTATTTTATACGCTAGATACATCACAGATGAATACATTATCATAGGAAATACTAACATAAACGAGATCTGATTCATCAATAGATCAACAAAAGGAGTCAGGTCGTTAGTTTAATTCGAAAAATATTAACTTTTTTCGTTTTATTATTGTTAATGTATAATTTCGTTGTTATATTGTAAATTTGTTTTCATATTTGCAGAATTGATGTCGTCAAACAAAGATTGCGATTATATCTTTATAAGACAATTGCATGTATCTGAAGAGTGATGGATTATACTATTCGTACTTTGAAAAGGTTCCATTGAGATCTACAACAATAAGAACGACCACATTAAAGTTCTAAAATTAATTTTGTGTAATGGGGAGTTATTATATAATGTCAGAATTAGCCAATAATTTTCTTAAGTTTCACTATCATACTAATATGTTATTTTTTATAATGTTTTTAAGGAAGTAATTTTCAAGTTACATTTTTAATGACACAATCAAAAAGTTCTTTTCCATACTTGAGAAATGAAAAATATACCGACTTTGAAATGGAAAAATAAGAGTAATAAACTTGAATTCAACATTTTTCAGATTATATACATATTTTCATAATACTTTAAAAAACAGTACTTTAAAAATATTATGCATACCATTCATTCGATACAAGACGTGCAACGCAAGTACTCACTACTAGTGTCATAAAAACTACATGATTAAAAGTGAAATGCAATCAACCCAATTATAGGAATTGGGGATGTAATAGCAAATGAAGTAAGATTGTGGGTCATCTTATTTCCCTCACGAGGAATAAAGTAAAGTGACACACGTAAACACCTACTTCTTTCGTAAGACCTTTGACATCAGATAAGCATATTTAAAATGACCCAATATTATGTACAAGGATATGTGCTCAAATCTGTTGACATTGTGCATTCTAAGCCCATGTTTTGTAAATATTAGAATCTCGATTTTAATTTAAGTTAAAGTCAATAATGAATTTTAACCACATATTTCATGAGATTCTCAACTTTTCAACAACACATTTCATCAAATTTTTATCAAAATATACTAAAAATATGATTTCAATTCTTACCAAACAAGGGCTAATTATAGTATCAGAGTACCCAATCTTCTAAATTATAAATGTCAATATCCCCCAATTTGTTTAGAGCTTCCCCGTTCAAGCGTCAAATATAGCCACGGATAGAATCCCTTCGTGAAACACATTTAAAATGAAAAGACTTTGGAATGACCTCAAATCATGAAGAATCAACCAATAACGTGTTATTTTCAGAGGAGAAATTTTCTTTCCAACTGAGAATTACCAGCAAAATTGTACATTATTTAATTCAGTAAAAAGTTAAAACAAAAGGCCATAGCAAAATCCAAAATTCTCAACCCTGTGATTTGAGCTTCAATCATTTTACATTTAGGTCACGATTAGGTAGCCGTATTAAAGTAAGTGTCTGTTTGATTGGTTTAATTTTCATGAAAAATGTTACATTTGAGGAATTCAATTTCTACTTTGACTGTTTGATACGAAAATGGAAATTGAGTTCGAATTTTAAGGTACAACCACTTTAAGCTTTTTTTTGCCAATTTCATGAAAATGCATTCCTATGTGGTACTTGAATTTTTATTTTTCGACTTATATGAAATTGGAAAGTCTCCTCACCTTTGCCAACCAAACAGCCAAAGTAGAATTGAATTCCTCCACAATGCTTTAAGGGCAGGGAGATGGAGGACCATCAAGGTTGGGGTTCAACCCTTTTAGAATTGAAGGCCTGTTCTTTTTACCGTTTTCAAGTCGTTTTCTGTTTTCGATTTTTCAAAACGGTGAAAACGTGTTCTCTTTCCCGTTTTCTAAAACGTATTTTCGAAAACACCAAAAAAAATACTGAAGAAAACAGATTCTTTATCGTTTTTAAGTCATTTTCTATTTTCGATTTTTCAAAACGGTAATAACGTGTTCTCTTTCCCGTTTTCGAAAATGTATTTTCGAACACACCAAAAAAAATACTGAAGAAAATAGAAAATGGTAAAAAAGTCGTTTCGGGCATCTTCTGTTGAAAACACGGGAAACAAGCTGAAGTTCTAAAACCTACCTGTGAGAGAAAAGCCTCTTCTTCTTCTTCCTCAACAAACTACAAGCAGTCGTCGCCTGAACCTTTCTCAATCCACTTCCGTTCGAACCCCATAAACTCTCTCTTCTACCCTTTATACTCGTCCTTGCCACTTAGTTGCAAAAACCGCCCCCAATTTATGGAAAAAATCGTGTGACTATCGACGGTTTTTCCATATTACCACAGCCGTCGGCCACCGTTTCGAAGTCGGAGCACCACCATTCAACTTCTCTCAACCAGACGCATCCAGTTTCACCATTGGAATCCTGCAATTTGTCGTCTAGAATCGAGTGAAAACTGTGGAACCAGTTGACTGCCTTTTGTGAATTTGTCTACTGGGCTCCTTCATTACCAGGTTAGTTGTTAATTTTACATCATTTAAGTTCAATTGATCTTGAATTGACAAAGTAATTGTGAAGTTTGACTTTTAACTTCGCCTCTTCCTTTGTGGTTTATTTTGTGTATTTCTCTTGGTTTCTCTGCGTGAAAACTGATGTCTTGCTGCATTGGCTTCTATGTGTTTCACATAGCTACTTAATCAATTCGAATGGATAATTATCTAATTAAGGCAACTGCATCTGTTTTCTTCCCTTTGGAGATATGGGGTTTTTGGTTGGAATTCAAATGGGGGAGTCTCCCTGTCCAATCCCTTTGAAGGTTTCTTGCTGTTTGTTTAAATTTTTGCACTGCTATTGATTGCAAATTTCTAAATTCTGCAGCGTTTATTTCAACTTCTTGCTACCTTACTAACTACCAAGTTTGATGAGTTTAGACAGCAAAGTGCTACTAACATTGGGTCAATGAATCATCATTTAGGTGTCTTGTGTTTTATTCAAGTTTAGGTGTTGTTCATAAGAATATTTATTCCACAGATTTCTCTAAAAGCTTTGTCTTTCAATTTGTACCAGAATTTGTAGAACTGGATTGTCTGGTTTAGGGTTAGAAATGGAAGAGAACGAACTTGAAGAAGAAAAGGCTGACTGTTTTCAGAATGATGGTGATGATTCCACCATTGACCCTGATATTACTCTCTTCTACGTTGTAAGTTCATATTCTTTTTTAAAATTTTCGTTGTAATTCAATTCTTCAGTTTTTTATGTCGGATGTAGTCTGATTTATAATAGATATCGTGTTCACATGCCAATTATGTGTGATATTTATGTTTATTGTTAGTTACTTACAGTGGCGGACCCAGGATCTCAACTCAGTCCGGGCGAACGTTGACTAGTCAACGTTGACCAGTCAAAGTCGACCATCAGCGATCGCCATAGGTAATATCAATTAAAATGGATTAAAAAATAGTCTACACATAGTTTAATTGAGACCAACATTTTCTTCATTAATTCTTTTCACTTATCCCTAATTTCCTAAAAACCTAAATTACCAACATCCCCAAGTTTCAAAATCCCCAATATTCTTTGATTCACAAATCTGAAATCCCAGGCTGCAGGCAATAAATATTCTTAGATTCACAAATCACAAACACATTACAATTTACAATTACACAATTTACACTACACATTCATATTATATAAACAAAAACAAAAATACAAAAACTCAAACCAAAATTGAAATTAACTAAAGGAACAAACAAATTAACTAAAGGAACAAAAAGAAAAAGAAACGAGAGAGCAGAGGAGGACAGACCGAGATTGAGAGAAGCTGCCTGCCTGCTGGAGTGCTGGTGCGACCGTGCGAAGCTTTCAAATTCAAGCTGCAGCCTCAGCCTGCCTGCTGCTGGATGCTGCCTGCTGGACGACTGCCGTGCGGTGCTGGAACAGTGGAACTAGAGGCTGGCTGCAGGCTGCTGGACTGGAACTCTGGAAGCCTGGAACTGGAAATAACAGGAGCCTCGTATGGTGGTGCATCCACAGCCTACAGCCACACGTAAGCTTCGACTTCGAGCCTTCGCCAATCGCCGTTCGTCTCTGACTCTCTGGTCTCTCCTGCCTCGCCTCCTCTCGTTTGGGTAAATTGGGTTTGAATCAATTTGGGGATTTTGATCTTGGATTTGGACCTTGGTTTTGGTTGTAGAAATGGGTTGGTTGCAATTGGCCATTGGGCCTTATTGTTTAAAAATAAAAGCCCAAGCTCAAAGCCTCAATCAAGGTTAGAAAGGTAAAAAAAAAAAAAAAGAATTGGCTGCTCATCTTCTTCCTCTTCTGATCGCCGGCTGCTGCAATTCTTCCCGACGGGCTTCAAGGTCCCGACGGACCCAGCACGGGCGGCAGCGGGGGCTGGCCGGGTGCTAGGTCCGCCCCTGGTTACTTATGCCTAATAATTATGTAGCAAGAATATGTTAACAGAAGGCATACTATATTTTATTTTGGATAATTGGTATTTTGTATTTAATTAAATCTTGTTCAGATTTAGTTAGGGAAGATAAGGATACTGTGTTTGGGCATTATTTGTGATGTCTGCTAAACCGTTTCTAGCTTCTGAACTTCCAAAGATGGCTAGACTAGGACTAGAGATAATGATCTATCGCTGGAAGTAGTCATTGTTGGTGTCTTGATTAGAATGTATATATCTAATGCGTTATTTTGTACTTTTTGAAGGGGGAGAAACTCCAAAATGTTCTCGGACATTTTCAAAAAGATTTTCAAATAGGAGTTTTAGCAGAGAATTTGGGTGAGTTGACACAAAGAGTGACTGATCACATAAAATTCAAGGGTCACAATAATGTGGCTTAGAGTATGAAGTACTGATCGGGACTTTAATTGCTTAACAGGGGCAAAATTCGGTGGCTATGTACTGTAACTTCATTGCCTCAACTTCTCTTCCTCACTCACTGGGGGTGGTGGCATTTCAGACAAGTGGCATTCTGATTCCGTGCAGTAATCTTTGAGATCTTTTATGATTATGTGAGGTGGTTCTATTTTGGTATTATGTGGCTGTAAAAAAAAAAAGAAAATCTAAAGCAGTTGTAAGCACATGTAAAGTTGAGATTGACACCTCTATTTTTTGTACAGAAAGTTTGCATCATACTAAATGTATATAAAGGAGTTTTTATAATTGAATGTGTATTTGAAACAATTATTGGATTAAATTCTTGCTGAGGATTTGCATTAGCATTTGAGTTCTCATGATGAACCTGATGCAAAGAACTCTATGAACACCTGAATAATGCAGTTGCAGAAGTTTAACCTGATTGCATTTTTTTTTTCGAATTCAACATTTTAGTCGAAGGTGAACTTATTTTCTTGGGTGAGTTACACATTTTGTCCTCAATGTTTGACCTCAGTTGCATTTTTTTCCCCAACCATTTTTTCTTTGCATTCTTACCCTCAAATAGAAACTTTCATTAATAGGTGCAATTTGTCTGTAATCAAAAATTTCAGCTAGCCCTGCAAAAAGACAATGTTGCTGTTAAACCAAACAAATCAATTGAAATTATAGTTTACGCCTTTCCAATCTCCAATTCAGTGGAACACTAATGTTCAACCTTCGATACATTTTTTTGGCATGAAAATATTGATTTTAAAATAGAGACCGCGGAGTTGAGAAAGAAGAAAAGAAAGAAAAATTATTATTAAAAAAAAATTTCAAAGTAAAAGCGTTTTTACGTTTTCTGTTTTCAGAAACAGTTTTTCAGAATGACAAAAAGAACGCACTTTCAAAAATCTCAAAACACAAAATACAAAACGAATTCAAAATTAAAAACACAAGACTGAAACATGAAGAGAATGGCCCCGAGTTCTTCGAATGTAACATTTTCCATAGAATTTAAACCAATAAAATGGAAATTTTTGTAGATGAATTGCACGTATTCAGGGCATTCTCATATCATCAAAAGTCAAATAATCCTAGTCCACTCGCTACAAATAACACACAAATCACATATCAATTGAAAGCCGCCACCAAAACAATGTCGTACTTTCCGAAGGGACACCACGACGCTGCCGATGCGGTCGACGACTTCGACAAGTTTGACACCACCCCGTACGGTGGAGGATATGAAATCGCATTGACTTACGGCCGCCCACTTCCGCCGTCGGAGGAGACATGCTATCCCAACACCTCTGGTTCCAACGAGTTTGACTATGATCGTCCTCAGTACACCTCCTATGCTAAACCATCTGCCTATGCAGATGAGGCTCTGGATAATGAGTACAAGAGCTATGTACGTCGTAAGCCCCAACCTGGGCCGCCTTTGTATGGGGGAGCGCCACCGCCGGAGGGATATGGGTATGACAGGCCCAAGCCTAATTTTGGGTTTCAGCCTGGTGGAGGTGCACCTGGAAGGCCTGAATATGGTTCATCTCATGTGATGCCCGGGTTTGAGTATGGTCGAAAACCAGAGTACCAGGAACCAGGTTCTGATTATGGATCTGGTTATGGTAGGAAACCGCACTACGAGGAGCCATCTTCTGAGTATGGATCCGGGGTTGGGCGGAAGTCACAATACAAGGAACCCAGTTCTGAATACGGATCCGGTTATGGGAGGAAACCACAGTTCGAGTCTGAATACGAATCCGGGTATGGACGGAATCCACAGTACAAGGAACCCACTTCTGAATACGGATCAGGATATGGGAGGAAACCCGAGTTTGAGAACCCCATTGCTGAATACGGATCTGGGTATGGACGAAAGAGTGAATACGAGGAACCTTCTTCAGAGTACGGATCCGGGTACGGCAGAAGACCCGGGCCGGAATATAGTGAACCTGCGGGTTATGGGAGGAAGAGTGAGTACGAGAAGCCAAGTTCTGAATATGGGTCCGGCTACGTGCGGAAGAATGAGTCTGAGTACGGAGCGGGTGGGTATGGAAGGAAGACTAGCTATGGAGAAGAGGAAGGTGGTGGGGGTTATGGGTATGGTGGGAGCTCCGAGAGGACTGAGTATGGAGAGGAGAAGTATGGGAAGTCTGAGGATGAATACAGGAAGCCCAGTTACGAGAGGCGTGATGATGAAGAGAAGGGCTATGGCCGCAAGAAATATGTGAGCATCTCTCCTTCACGCATAATTTAATTGATTGCTTAAAATATATAATATGCAAACACGATCAAATCCAATGCCATAATATCTGGGTTTGCAGTCTAGCTTAAATAAATTAGATGGATTGTTTGGCTTCATTACATCTCATGTTGGTTTGGCACGATTGGGATTTTTTTGAAGAAATTAAATCGATGTAAATGGATCTGTTGATGAATCTGATTTTGAAAATGCGGTTGATAATAAAATGGTTGGGGAGAAAATGTGTGTAATGATGCATTAGCCTACGGGATTCAGCACTCAGAATAACAAATTAAGTTTGTCCATAATTATTCTCTACCCAGAAATTGAAGAAGAGGAATTTAATTGAAACTAATGAGAAAAGAAAGTCTGGAGCATTAACTAGTACCTAGCAAGTGAGCTGTTGAGTGCTTACTATGAAATTGGTGGATGTAAATCCAAAAGCTGCACGCTTGATAGGAAACTCAAGGTTTTGTTTATTTATTTTAGTCTTGTTATAACATGAGTTTGAGCGGATAGAGAGAACTCATATATGAGGTTAACTACATAAGAGATTGAATACTGGATTATTTCTTTAATTATGTTGCTGAACTTTCTTTTTCTGATCTTTACAACTGCCATTTGCAGGGTGGTGAAAAATCTGATGAGGATGAGGAGAAGCGCCGCCACCACCACCACCACCACCACCACAAGCACTACAATGATTAAGCTGAATGTTTGTGGCCTTGTGAAGAGAATCCTGTCATATTAATCTATTAAATAAAGGGCAGGTGTATTACCCTTGGAAGGTGTTCTTTTTCATTGAGTTTAAGTATATTTGGTTTTATGGGTTTGTTCAATATAAGATCAGTAGCACTGTTTTCGCCATGCTGACGCAACTTATGTGTGAAGTATTGCGCTTTTGCGTGCTAATGGATTACTCTGTATGGAGCAGTATGCCTTAAATGCATATTTGTTCGCCTGTTGATGTTTGCATGCATGAATGCATCTTTATTATTCCATGTTAATTGTAGTGATTTGTTTGCGCCATGGATAGTGAAACTTCTGTTTATGATCTGTGGTGATTTTTGCTATTTGTAACTTCTGTGCCAATATGCCGAAAATGGTTGTTTTCATTGCCTAATTCGAACTTTGTTTTGATTGCTTGGAAGCAACGGGTGGGGAATGATCAAACTCTTATACCCCTATTTTTCTTTCAACGTCCTATTTCCTTGACTTTGTAAACCTCGCCAATTTTGTGGCAGCTTGAATTAGATTTTGCTTGAAGCTTTATTTCTCGTTTCCCTCTCCTGTCTTGATCAGTGAAATACACAAGTGAATAGTATGGTAGTTTGGCTGAGGACCTGCATTATGCTGAAAATTTTTGGTAGAATGTTCTTCTGCTACTTTTCTCTTGCCATTGCCAGTCCTGCTTGAAAAAAGCATCTACTCAGATGCAAGTCAAAGAACATTTATGGTCCGATAGGGCAAAGGTGGAAAGGAATTCAAATTCCATTAGTTGGAAAATAAAAATCCACCAAACCCATAAGAATTCGTTTTCAATGAAAACAAAAAAAAAAATGCAACTTAAAGTGGTTGTACCTTGAAATTCGGTTTTCATTTTCACGTTGCAATCAAACGGTCAAAGTGAAATTGTTTTCCTCGGATGTGATATTTTTTATGGAATTAGTTGCATTCAAATAGGGCATTATGTTTAATATGCGAACAAATAGATGAATTGCAAAAGTCTAAATCTTGAATCAGACCAGTGCTGTTTTTATTACGTAATTTGCACAAAAATGCACCCAAGAAGTTTAGAACAGCGTAATTTTACTTGATTCGTGATATTGTGGTGTTCAGTGGAAAGACTAATTCATAACCAAAAAGTTAAATCTCTATTTGGGAGCACCAGCATCGTCTTCATTCGCTTCGTCCTGGTTTTGCAAGGTTGCAAAGGAATCACAGGGCGAGTTTTCAGCTGTTACAACGCCTGTAATGTCATTATCCACACTTCCAACGAGAGATGAAAACGAAAATGGATTATAAGTAGAGCTCGCCTTTTTAAGGCCCTTTATAGCTCTCATTGCAGCAAGGGTGCTCCGGTATATATCTACATTCTCCTCCCCAAGCGACAAGTTTGTCTCGAGGCAATCATTTGAAGGGTTTCTATGAACTGTATCCATCTGATCTTGTGCAACGGAAGTTGACTCGACAACCTCGGCTTCTAGCGGGAAGAGGAGCTCAAGATTTTCCTCACACTCGTGAACTAATCGCGTGAGAGGTTCAGTGGTGAAGAAAGGCTGATGAACAGCAAGCTGTGTATAAGGAAGGCGTAATAATCCCCCGGTTCTTTTATCATATTTCTTCAAAATCTTCAGAAGACCTAATCAAATATGCAAATACATTTCAGAGTTCACATATTGAGCAAGAGAGCATGTTTGGCTATGATTGAAATATAACTCACAAGTAACAAGTTTTAGAATAAATATATCTTTTATTGGCCAAAGCTGTAAATAAGCAAGTCATTTTTTTTCACAGTAAGCTAATTAAGAGAATAAAGTTTTAAACTAAGAAAAAGTAAGCACATCCAAGCATGTTTGGAAGCAACAAAATTGTGACTTATACTTTTCTTTTAAGCTTAGACAAATCAAGGTATATGAAGCTATATCGTCTAATTTTCGGAAATAACCCGGGAACCACCATTCCCAGGTGCAACCTGTAATAGATAATCGTAGAAAAATTTACCAGCAAAATTAAGAGAGCTATAATTTTTCAGAAGAACCATTTCGCCATGAATGGAAACGAAGTCTTTGCGTATGTCCATCATCTCTTCACTAAATTCAGTATCTGATCTAAAGACTCCGTCTCTACCGCCTTTTTCTTTCGCTCGTTCAATTCTTTCCTTCAACTCCTGCAAAAAGAACGCTAACGAATGAAGTGCCAAATCAACATATTTTTGTGGTCTCCACCAAAATGATGCTTCCCGTGCGAGTTACTAACCAAGAGATATATATCTACAATAATTTTACCTTTGTTTACAGCAATTTTAACAGGAATGGAATAAACGAGGCCAAAAAGAATTCGATAATCAATATTTTAATTGACAAATAAATGATAAAATCAAGATGAAAAGTTTGCAAAACAGACGCACCTTAGACGTGCATTGAGTTTACTAGTTTCCATTCTGAAATACAGGTTAGCTATCATCCGACAAAACCTCACATCTGGCACTTTATATCATCTGTTCCTGTGTTAATACTCCCGTCGCCTTTACTATAAAGGTAACGCAACTATAGGTTACAGAATGCATCAGTTTCATTTTAAAAAATCTGATCCTGCAAAGGATTGTTCATGGAACTACTATCGAGATTCTTTGGACCATATTTCCTAGTATTATCGTGATGTTCATTGCTATACCATCATTTCTCTGTTCTATTCAATGGACAAGATAGTAGTAGATCCAGCCATTACTATCAAAGCCATTGGATATGAATGATACAGAACTTGTATTCGGAATATAACAATTCCGACGAAGAGTCAACTCACATTTATACGATTTCCAGTAGAACGAGTCATCGCATTTCATTACCTTTTGGTTATTTCTAGTTCATTCACTTCAAGGAAGGTTCTGAACATTGTGTAACATCGTTTTCAACCAACATGATTTAATGTAACTCTTAAGTCCGTCTTTGGGATAAAGCTATCCCAATGGGCCTCATGATTCAAGTTCCCTAAGAAATTTCAATAGAGATTTTTTCTTTGGGTCATAATAAGGTCCGCTACTACAAAGGGTAATACACCCTTGATCGTGAAATAATGATTGCCTGTTGACCCCTATGATTTGCATGTAAAAATAGTGAAAATTCTTGATCTCTNCCTGTGGCTCGGCCAGGGAAAGCCCGAGCTGGCTTGTGGCTCAAAACCACCGAGCCGAGGCTCGAGTCGAGCCCCATTTTGGGACAAAGGCTCGAGCCCCAGCCACACGGCTAGGCTCGTGTCACTGGCCATTTTTAGCCCGAACGAGCAGAGCTAAATCAGCCAAGTTTTAAAAAGAAAAAGAAAAGGAAAGATAAAAATTGAGTCAGCTCGACTCGTAAAGGTTCGAGCTGAAAGCTAGGGTCAAGCCTAAAATTTTCAGCCAAGCTTAGCTCGGGCAAAAATAGCTCGAACCATTTTTACTCGGCTCAACTCGACTCGTTAATATCCCTAACTCTAAGCAATCTATTATATTCGAGAACCCTATGACTATTTAGTTAAGCACATGGGACATGTTATCAGCCCAACAATTTATTTCTAATGATTTGTTCACCTTAAAGAAGATATATCCACTTTCCAAGAATATCTTGAAGATAAAGATCTCTGGTAGGGATGTCAACGAGCCGAGCCGAGCCGAGCAGAAACTCGAAGCTCGGGCTCGGCTCGAGAAAAAATGGTTCGAGCTTTTTTTTGCCCGATTCGAGTCGAACTTTTGTTCAACAAAAAAATTTAGACTCGACTTGAGCTTTTGGCTTGGGCCTTTACGAGCCGAGCCGCTTGATTTTTTTCTATTTTTTTTTTTTTAAATATTCAAACATATCTGCCTGCAAATTATTATTATTTTTTTAACTTTTTTTTTACAGTTGGCTGAGTTTGCTCGGCTCGTCCTGGTTGAAAATAGCCTGTGACACGAGCTTGCCGACGAGCCACATGGGTTGGCCCAGGCTCGAGTCTTTTGTCCCAAAATGGGGCTCAGCCCGAGCCTCGTCTCGGTGGTTTTGAGCCACAAGCCGGCTCGGTTCCGGCTTTCCCTAGCGGAGCCACGGACGGCTCGAGCCGACGAGCGATTTTGTCATCCCTACTCCCTGGCTTTCATATCCAAGAAGCTAAATTGAAAGCTCACTAATCCATTCATTTGAGACGAATTTATTAAACACGGGAAGATGCAGTTCCCTAACACTGAACAAATTTCCTTCAGTGGATTCACCCGCAAGATCAACATACTAACAGTGCCTATTTATCCAGCTTGAATAAGGTATTAAAAAAAAAACACAGACAAATTCACATTTGCATAGAACCACCCACGCCACAAAATAGATTCAGTAATATTAATATTGATGTACGTGAAATCAAGAATTAACCTGGAAGCGGATGATGAATTCTTCCTCTTTATCGACGAAGAAATCGTTGAACTTTTCGAGTTCTTCGTTAAGAATCCCGACAAACCAGTCATGGAGCTCGGCTGGCGGCGGAGGCGGCGCCAACTCATCTCCGTCTGGTGGAAGATCCGCGGCCGGTATATTTTTAAGAAGCTTCTTTAAAGGCTTGTAACACAAATACTTGTCCCTCCATTCAGGCAGTGTGTCTTCTAAATGTATCTTAAACTCTTTCCCGAATTTCATCAATAGAAAGCCTTTCTTTTTCCAAAAATTTCAGAATTATTACAGTACAATGAGAAGTAATTTAAATTCACAACGTAGTACCCCTGAAATCAAGACGAAGATAAAAAAAAATTTACGAGAGGTACACACTAGTGTGTTTGTGGGGTGGGAGTGGAGAAGTTGCTTTTGGAATCATTGAAGATGGACATTAAAAACTTGTAGGCGGTTGCCGGTTGGTAATGGGTTATGGGGAATGGATTGGCATATTCTTTCAGTCTTTTGGGATTTTTTTCTTTCTAGAAACGACAAAATAACCAACAAAAATCTAAGAATTTAAGGAAAATTGCATGATCAATCTCCAATTATTGATCAACTAATAAGTCGAACCTAGATTTTAAAAAGAAGCAAGTTGTTAGTTATTCTTTTAATGTACAATAGAAACTATTCAAATCATTATAAAACTAGTCGATGTTATGTGCGTTGCACGAGTTTTGTATAAATTTTGTTTTGATTAGCGCATGAGTTGAACGTTTTTCAAAAGTCCATGGCAAAGTGTTATTGTTTTCAATAATTACGCACTGTGTGAATTATTTGCAAGTAAATGTAAGAAATGATGCATTTATTTTAGAATAATGCTATATGTACACAAACTTTCACACAATCTTTTACACCTCCCTCACATAGAGGGGGGTCCACACATAATAAAATAATCGTGGGCCCCCCTCCATGTGAGGGGGGTGTAAAAGATTTTGTGAAAGTTTGTGGGTACATGTACCAGCACCCCAAATCAATAGTTAAAAACAGGAAAATAAAGATAGAAAGGGTAAGATAGTACTTTGATATAAATCAATTTTATATTATTTAAAGGCTTTGTAAGTATCTGGTAGACTTCTGGCAAAATTCTTCTGGTATTCTAGCATAGCCCTTGCAAAAGATACATCATGTGTCCTGTAATCTAGTCATGTACAAGACAAACTAAACAAGAACTTGTTTCTAGCATGAATGATGTAGGTATCATGTTCCACATACATCATTTGTCAACGCTAACTTTTGGTTGGCAGTTTCTAATTACATATAGCTAGCAAAAAAGAATAGTAGGACAAACTTCACTGTAACAGGGTAGGTTGTTATCAAAAGATTTTATCACACAACATTTCAATCATTGTTTACTCCATTTTTGCTTTGGAGTAAATGGATTTGTGCCGGAGATTTCTGAACTTATGTTTTCATCCACATTTGAACTTGAAGTATGATCTGAAGACTTGGAAAGAGTTTTCTTTGCCGGAGGTGACCAATCTTCTCGAGAGTTTGTATTAATATTTTTTTCCCAGCTGCTTTAATCATAACTTGAGTATCAATGTTTGCTTGGCTTTGTTTTCTTGGACTTGTATGGTCTAAATCTGTTACAGAGATGATGTCAAATCTATAACTTGATGAATTATGTTCTGTTTGCGTTGCTTTCAAATAGAATGTCGTTTGGTGTTTTGCATTTTTTGAATTACAGTTCGAAAGACTATCTCTGAACCTTGTATGTTAATCATGTATTCTATTAATGTTACTTGAGTAAAATATTTGTGGAATGACAAAATGTTTAAGTTAGGTTAAAATTCTTATAGATTTGGTTTGCTCCATCAGGGATTGTGTACTTGTAAACAATAGTTTTTCAGCTAGTTCACCAATTGCATTTGCATTCAACGAACCATCACATCTGGTAGCTGCACATATGATCTAGCCCTAAGGTGAATAAGAATTGAGTATTAGTAAAATAAGACACGCCGAAAAAAATAAAGAGAATTAGAAAAGTCGTGTATAAGTAAAACTGATACTTGTATTTCATAAAGAAAAATAGAAAATATGATTAGTAGTTAGTATATTTTTCCGAGGAATAGCTTTAGAATTTGGATTCTTGCAAAAAATACAAAGATGTGTCTCTCCAAAATCAACATTTGATCTTCAATAGCAATTGTTGCAAGCAATACACCAAGATTTATTATCGATTTTGTCTATGATTGCTGTGTCATTTACCCAATAAAACTTGCATTGTTATCAATATGTATGTGTTAGTGATAAATTTACACAAATTATGAAGAGAAAAAAGGATATGACTGGACATATCTTCTTACATATATATTGGGAAAAGAATACATGCTGCTTGAATAGTACATGTAATATGTAACATTACTGCTAAGAGGCATCCCTGGAGATTCTGAATGGGATTGAATTTATTGAACATAGGTGGAGAAAGATTTGTGGGGGCTTTTGTCCATGTATGATTTTTTCAATACCAAATCATCGATCTTAATAGAATTTTCTTTCACCCTTAGAGAATAAGGCCAAGACAATTAGTAAATGTAGCAATGATATGTGGATTGAGATGTGTGAAATAAGAAAAAAAACGATAATAAAATATAGCAACTTGTACATACCATTCTGTCAGTTGTTTTACTGCAAAGAAAGGTGTATTTATGAAGAAGGTGGTACAAACTTTTGTGGACAATTTCAAACATAAGTAATATCATTATGGAGAACACGTGTAAAGTACATCACATAATGCCTTGTGAGGAGTTCTAATAATATAGTAGAACATATTAAAGAATGATGTAACTTTGACATGTGTTGCAAATATGACTGATTTTATCTCAATGTTGTCTGTTATTACTACATATTCTCTATCAACAAATGAATCCCAAAGTGTAAGCATCATTTTTTTGAAATTCATGTTGAGAAGTATGACATCTTGTACTCATGTTCGGTTGCTATCTTTTGATTGAATCGGTCGTTTAGGCGTCATATCAACTGCAACTAAAAGTATGTCTGAAAATTTAAAATGAGTTATCATATTCTCTCTTTACTTTTCTAAACATAACTATTAACATTTCAAGGTAACTATATTTTTGTAGAATCAGTATATTATTATTTGAAGTACATGAAACGTGCAGTTTCTTACTTAAATCAGCATCTGTATCCATGTATTGCTCAACCACATGAAACGGTGTCAGTTGATAGATTGAGAAAACAAATTTTAGATTATATTCATTTAGTTCTTCAACACGAGTTTCTCCAGATATCATCCTTTGAATAGATTCCATTGAGCCCCTGTTTGGCCCCCATTACATTAAATTACATTACGGCCCTATTTGTTTCTGATTCTCAAATCAATTCTCAAATCAATTCTCATTTTCAACCACACATTTTTCAATAAAATAATATTTTCCATCACATCAATACTTTTTTCTTCTTTTTCGACCACACATTTCCCATCATATCACTATTCAAAATCAATTCTTCCCCCAAAAATCCCTACCAAACAGGCTCTACATTAAATTTTTTTTTCTCTTCATTACAACTACACATTCATTAAATAAAATAATATTACACACAAATCTAAAACTATTCATTACTTTTCCACCACACATTCTCCCATCAATCACTATTCCAAAAATTTTCAACCCTAAAAAATGGCAAATAATGGAGGCCAAACAGGGGCTGAATATTTGTAGTTTGTCATATCGTTCTTCACATAAGCTTCTGAAATTGTATAAGTTTTTCCTAGAGCAAGCTGATCCTTGAAAGCATTGATATTGGAATCTTATAAGCCAACGTGGATAGTTACCCTGAAAAGGGAGGAGGAATTTAATAAATAGTAGTACATATGTGTTCATAGAAAACAAAGAGGAAAAATGTAGAAATATAATGAAAAACCTTAATAATTTCTAATTGAAGACAATAGAGTATAACTAAATGTAACATTTAATTGAACCTTAGTACTTAAGATGTGTAATCAATAAGAATTCCCTGAGTATCCATTAAGATCACATGTTGGTACCTTCCATTGCCTTGCTTTGAAGGTTTTGGTGATTGTTTTTCAACTACAATCACCTTAGCTTTCCACTTTTGATTGTTTGACACAATTTCTAGTATCTGTTGGTATTGTTCTTCCGTTCTAAGACTTGTATTAGAAGTGAAGGTTTTGTGACTTGTATTTGGGTTTTTTGGTTTTTTTGTAAAGCTGAAGTGAGTGCAGTGTTTTTGTATTCAATAACCGATAATGAAGTCTTTTTACAAGCAAATGCATTATTTGTAAAGGAGACGATACATATAAATTGTCGAAGTTTGAATAAAAAAACAAGTGAGATCAATATGTACACTGTACAGTGATATCGGTCAATAACTTATGGTCAAATCAGTGCTGCAATTATCAGATAGGTATAGGCAAGCAAATCAGACTGTTGAAGCTTTAGCTACTACAAGAATGACCATAAATTAAGGACTATTGAGTGAAAATCATGCCATATACGTCAGAAAACTAGTTCTACTATAGAAATAAAATATGACTATCTCTACTATATAGTAGAGGTGTCAATCCGGGTGGTCCGGGCCGGATCGGTCAGCCAACATGTGAGCCCGGTAATGGCCCGCGTGAAAAAAAGCCCGCCCGCTGCGGGTTCCGGGCCGGTTACGGGTCGGCCCACAATTTTGGACTACAACCCAGGCCCGCCCGCTGACCCATCCGGGTCGAGCCCATGCGGGTCACGGGTCGCGCGGGTCGCGGTTCGTTCCGATTTTGG